TACTATAAAACCCTATAACAAAATACGCCAAAGCTCCGGCTATAACAACCGATAGGTGACACCTAAGTGGCACCCGTGCCGACAGCTAAGCAGCACCCATACCGATGGCCGAGCGGCACCCATACCGATGGCCGAGCGGCACCCATACCGATGGCCGAGCGGCACCCATACCGACGGCTGAATAGCACCCGTGCTGACGGCTGAGTGGCACCCGTGCTGACAGCTGAGTGGCACCCGTGCTGACGGCTGAGTGGCACCCATACCGACGGCTGAGTGACACCTATGCTGACGCCTGAGTGGCACTTATGCTGATGCCTAAATGGCGCCCATATTGGCACCTCAGCTCACCGATACCCCGCTTATGGCGCCCGTATTGGCACCTCAGCTCACCAAGATCCCGCTTATGGCGCCCGTACGGGCACCTCAGCTCACCGATACCCCGCTTATGGCGCCCGTATTGGCACCTCAGCTCACCGATACCCTGCCTACGGTGTCTATACATCGCCTAAACCTACCTATAACGAATAGGGTGGTTATAACAATAAAAACTAGGTGTAGCTATAATACTTGATATACATATAGGACCTTCTTGCCTATAGAATAACATACAGAACAAGACAAGTAAGACAATCAATACAACATCAGCAAACATTGCAAACACCAATCTTCTTCCTTATTGAACAAACCCTAATACCTTCTTCTTTATCCAATCTTCCCTAAGCCTATTGAGACATACAAAGTCTTAGATTATATATACTTAGAACTTCTAAAATTTTAAGGTTAATCGTACGAGAAAATTACTTACAGTCTACTCAAGAAAAATAACTTACAGTCTACTTAGTAGGGAAACTCTTCGGACTGACCTACTTGGCGTACTACCTAGTGCCTCCTTCAAAGTTACTCTATAGGACCCGAGTCCGTGTAAGACTTAACATAGCAACGGTACGGTTGCGAGTTCAGACTTAAGGAGTACGAGTGATAGATATTACAGACGTCCAACGACACAGAGAACAACTAGTAAGTTGTTTACCCAGATCTAACCACTCACCGTGACCAGTTAGCAAAGCGTGTAACACTTACGAGTAAAGGAATATATATCTTTTAACTTACAATCTATTTGGTGAATGGTAATCTATTTGGTAATTTGCCATAGTTAAAGCTGTATAATTAGAACACTATCAAATACCACTGGTAATATTGAATATCTTGCATATAATTTGTGCAAATTTGGGGGCCAAATGGGCCAAATGGGCCAGCCCATGGGCCGCCAAGAAAACCCATGGGCTGGCCCATGTACAGGTCTAACCTGGGCCATAGATCGGGACCTGGCCCGTTACAACTACTATGAATTTGACGTTTTGGTTGAGGTTTTTAGCTGGCAGAATAACCGGCAGAATATTATATAAAAAAGTGGAGAAGAGCAAGTTTTTTTGAGCACCCACTGTACTCGGTTGGTTCGCGGTATAATTCTGAGGACGTTGCTAACTACTCACAAATTCGGTCGCCTCTGGCAGTGTGCAGCGCGTACCGCTGTCAAGTCACCTGATATGAGGCTGAGATGCCCCTCACCTGGCTACGTGGCCCGGTTCCTGCTTACCCCTTTCCTGAAAATACTCATTGCACCCTATGAGTTGCTTCAATCATGGCGTTGACCTCATTTGGCAGCGGAAACTCTGGGCTCCAGATTGGAACTAACAATGGCACTATCAACAACCCCCAGTTTTACCTACCCCTACGTAAGTATCGCGAAACGCATGAATTTGGTTCAGCCAAGTTGACTAATTGCTGTCTGACCCAGAGCGACCGGAAACCCCACCGAGCCCTTCATCAAACGTCCCGTTTCGCCGTGACCCGGACTTTGTCGACTGTGGAACCCTACTTGATCATATACATGCAAAGGCCTCTGCACCAGGGTCTAGGATAGCGCTTATCGGACTAGGTGGCGTCGGGTGCGACTAGAAAAGGCCCGCTCGTTGTTCACTACTGATAATTTAGAAGGAAATCCCAACTTGCTATTGAATACTCGCACCGGGTTCGAGACCAATCACCCGGGACGTGGATTTTTTGGATTCACGCGAGTAATGCAACCCGTTTCGAGCAGAGTTGTCAAGATATTGCCGACCTGGTCAAGATACCCGGCCGGCAGAATCCCAAGACGATCGCATTCAAACTCCTTCACGATTGGTTACTGGATGAGAAGAACGGGAAATGGGTGCTCATTCTTGATAATCTCGACGATGATCAATTCCTCCACGAAACTCCAATGGTAGAGCGGAACTGCCTTGAAGGTGACCAAATTAGCACTCCAGGACGATCAATCTGGTCCTATTTCCCTCAGAGCTTGAAAGGCGTAATCCTTATGACAAGTCGGAGCAGGCACGTGGTATCAAGAATGGTAGATGATGGCGATATTATTACAGTTGAACCTATGGACGAAACCCATGCAATAATGCTCTTTGAGAAGAAGCTCGGAGCGCAAGCTAACATGGAAGTCGTCATTCAGCTGGCCGCAGCTCTGGAGTTCATGCCGCTTGCGATTGTGCAAGCAGTGGCCTACATCAAGCAAAGAGCGCCTCGACTTTCAGTCACACAATATCTCGGAGAGTTCCAGAGGAGCGACCACAAGAAAATAAAATTCCTTGGTTATGAAAGTGGACATCTTCGCCGAGACCAAGAAGCCAAAAATGCCATCCTTCTTACCTGGCAATTGTCGTTTGATCATATAAGGCAAATAAGACCATCAGCAGCGGATTTATTGTCTCTCATGAGCTTCTTCGATAGACAAGGAATTCCTGATATTCTTCTTCAAGTGGGTAAAGAGACGAGAGATAATACTGGAAACCTATCGCCTCAGGACATGGATAAAACAAGCGGTGGCGACCACGGGGAGGAGAGCGAAAGTGAATCCAGCGTGACCGACAGTTTTGAGGACGATATATTGGTGTTGAGAGACTACTCGTTAATATTCATCAGTGCGGCTGCAACGAACTTTGAAATGCATCGTCTGGTCCAACTGGCTATGCAGGAGTGGCTGAAGGCTCACAAGCGGCTTGAAAGGTGGAAGGAGCACTTTATCCGAAAACTTTACAGCAATTTTCCAACAGGGAAATTTGAGAACTGGCCAAAATGCCAATTGCTATTTGCTCATGTGCAATGCGCAGTTGCACAGAAGCCCGAAGCCGAAGCATCGCTAAGGGAATGGGCTTCACTCCTTCACGAAGCCGCATCGTTTGCATGGACCCGACGCAATTTTGTCGATTGTAAAAGAATGGCTGAAAGAGCAACAAAGGCGAGAACTGAATTATTCGGCCTGGAGAATGAGAAGACACTCGATAGTTTTGAGATGCTTGGGTTGGCATGCAGCCTGGGGGGGCCGATGGGAAAAGGCAGAAAGGCTGAACGTGCAAGTTATTGAGACCCGGAAGCGAGTGTTAGGGCCGGACCATCCCTACACTTTGAACAGCATGAGCAACCTGGCATTGACATACTGGGATCAGGGACGATGGAAAGAAGCAGAAGGCCTTCATGTACAGGTTATGGAGACCAGGAAGCAGGTGCTAGGGCCAGAGCATCCCGATACTCTGAATAGCATGAGCAACTTGGCATTAACATACCGTGATCAAGGACGATGGAAGGAGGCGGAAGACCTGCAGGTACAGGTGATGGAGACCTGTAAGCGGGTGCTAGGGTCAGACCATCCCAACACTATAACCATCATAAATAACCTAGCGTCGACATACTGGGATCTGGGACGATGGACAAAAGCGGAGGAACTGCAGCTGCAGGTGATGAAGATATGTAAGAAGTTACTAGAGCAAGAGCATCCTCATACTCTGACTATCATGAGCAACCTGGCATCAACATACCGGAATCAGAGACGATGGAAAGAGGCGGAAGAGCTGCAGGTACAGGTCGTCGAGACCCGCAAGCGGATATTGGGACCAGACCATCCCGATACCCTGAATAGCATGGCAAACCTGTCATCGATATACCAGGATCAAAGGCGGTTGAAGGAGGCGGAAGAAGTAATGGTGCAGGTGATGGAGACCCGGAAGCAGTTGCTAGGGCCAGAGCATCCCGTCACTCTGAATAGCATGAGCAACCTAGCGTCAATATACCGGGATCGAGAAAGGTGGAAAGAGGCCATCATGAATTGCCTGCCGTCTTTCTATCAAAAAAAGGGACGATACAAGGAGGCGGAAGAGCTGCGGGTGCAAGTGATGGAGACCTGGAAGCAGCTGCTAGGGCCGGGCCATCCAGACACACTGAATAGCATGAGCGACTTAGCATCGATATATCAGGACCAATGGCGTTGGGAGGAGGCAGAGGAGCTGCAGGTGCAGGTAATAAAGTCCAGGAAGCGCCTATTAGGACCAGACCATCCCGACACTCTGAACAGTATGAGCAACCTGGCATCGATATACCGGAATCAGAGACGATGGAAAGAGGCGGAAGAGCTGCAGGTACAGGTCGTCGAGACCCGCAAGCGGGTGTTGGGACCAGACTATCCCGATACCCTGAATAGCATGGCGAACCTGTCATCGATGTACCAGGATCAAAGGCGGTGGAAGGAGGCGGAAGAGGTAATGGTGCAGGTGATGGAGACCCGGAAGCAGTTATTAGGGCCAGAGCATCCCGACACTCTGGAGAGCATGCGAGACCTAGCATTTATACAGCGGGATCAAGGGCGATGGAAGGAAGCAGAGGGCTCGAGGTAAGGTACAGGTGATGAGACTCGCACGATAAATCTCGGTGAAAACCATCCTGATCAAGTTGGCGTAAGCTGCAATACCTTGGACTCGGGGGGCGCAGCGAGCGAGAGGCTGTGTATTCCGCGAGACGTGTAATTCAAGTACCTAGGCCATATCTGCTGCCTTTTTAGATAAGTCATATTTCTATTCTTAGGGACAGGGATTATATGCACGCTGGCTGCGCCTATCCTAGATAGGCATTATTATGGTCTTGGTGTTAGGGTTTGAGATACTTTCTTTGTGTAAAATATGGAAGTCAATTTCGAATTCGAGTGTACTCGGTTTGCGACGCAGATCATATTTCGGAGAGACCCTAGCTTGAAAATGCGGAAACTCACCGGGTCCATCATCTCAACAACCCACGAAGATGGAAAGGAGAATGCTAGTTGGACTATATCCGACATTGAGACACTGAATGAGACGGAGTTCGAGAACATGATGACTGAGGTTGGTCTATTCGTCTGGACCTAGCAATGAATACAAAAGCTAAGCTGCCCAAGGTTCATCTAGCGATGGGACTATCAACGGCCATGGAATATAACCTGCCCACATTTTCCTCGGATGTCCTTCGGTTGGAGATTCATGGACCTCACGAAAGTCATCTCGGTGTGATTGATGTTCCGGGAATTTTTAAAACTACGACACCTGGTTTGACTTCAAAATCAGACATCACCCTCGTGAGGGACATGGTACTCAATTACATGCGAAATCCGCGGTCAATTATGCTTGTCGTTATACCAGAAAATGGGTTTTAGGGTCTATACCCTAGTGGAAAAGAAAGTCGGCCCCATTGCATTTCTTCGCGTCCTGATTCGCCGATTCTGCATCTAACGGACAATTCATGACTTAGACCAGAGCCACCCCGGCATCGCAGGGGGGTTAAGATTATAGATAGGGGTTAAAGAAGATCTGATTAATCGGAAACCGTCATCAAAACCCCTGTGCCGGCTCTGTTTAAGCCAGAGAAAGGTAGAGAAGTTAAGGGCTTTTAAGGATTTCAGATTCTCAACAGACAGCTTGATTTTCGGCGACTTCGATAGATTTTCAGCGATAGCTAAACTGCTTTTGGGATAGTACCAAGCTATACTTCTTTTAGCAGCCAGTAAACTAACTAAATTTAATTAGAAATTATATTTCTAATCTATCTAATCTGCCACCGTACTCTTAACTAAATAACTCGTGCTAGCTATAGCCCCTATTCCTATCTACTCCTAGATCATTTCTTGTATAAATAGGTTTTATATTTCTTACCTCTATAATTAGCTACTGAAGAACCAGCTTCAATATAATATCCAAAGCCCCAGGCCCCAAGATTCGAAAGTGAGGCCGACCACAGAAATACTTCTCCGCGCAGCAGAGGCGCAAGGCTCGTACAATCCAACGATGGCATCAGCGATAGCGATAGACTACCAGAACTACTTAGGCCACAGACCATACAGCTAAGATCAGTCAATACAGTGCTAATTCTACACCTATACCCGATAAACCTGTTCTGGGGTCTATCCTTCCTACCAGTCCTTCCTTTTCCCAAGAGGAGCCTAAACTACCTAGAGAAAATTAGCCACCTTTATCTCTAAACCCTACACCTACTACAATCCTAGAACTTAAAGGTACTACTCTTTCTTAATTCCTACTAAGTAACCTAACCTATATATCACTAGACAGTTTACCTATAAACACAAATACCAATCGTTATTTACCAGAACCCTTACGTACCAGCAAAGTATCATCCATAGTACTAGCCAGAGATAATATTACAGAGTCTCTGATCAGATCCCCTAACAGTTCAACTATAATAATATAAATATTTCAAGCCATACCACCAACCTATAGCAAACTATAGACATACCAGATCCAGACATAACCCTAGATTCTGATATCAAGCTGGATACTAAAAATCCAGACTAAGACAAACGATACACTGGTGTACTACTAGCAAAGTAACTTCTTCACTCCCCTGAGTACTGCAATGACTGCCATACACGATATAACCATAAGAAGAACCCAGCCGGACCACCAAGGCATAGTCTGAATAAGGTCCTGTCTTGGCCCTGTCCGGAGGTCCTCAGTATTACCAGACTGGCCAGATCGGATAACCAGTATATCGAGAACTGACCACCAGAACAGCATGAAAGAGTCTTCTACGGGACCAGTTCAAGACAATCCCGCCGCGCACCCGCTATCTACCTGGACCGGGCAGAATAGAAGCTAGGGCCAGCAGCTGTCCACTTTAATATTGACAGTGTCTTGGCCCATATAACTAGCCCCGCTGCCAGTTCCCAAGGCCTATACTGGTATCCTATTCAGCGGCCGATCTCGGACCTCCAGTCAGGTCTTCACCTGGATCCACTCCCAGTCCAGTTCACGGATTGCCACGGACATCTACATTCCATATCGGTACCGCTACACCACGTTGAGCACTACACGCTGGCCCAGGTGCCAGGATTCGAAGAGGCATCAATATACGCCCTGTTTCCCGGACTATATCAGCCTCAGCAACGGTCTAGCCGACTATCAGACGACCAGTTCCAGATCTGGATAGACGATATCTTCCTCCCAGCGGTTTATCAATACTACTCAGGTGCCCGGCTGCAGCACCTCCCTTCCAATTCTAGCCATAGTAATTTGAACTCATGGGCGGCATGGGCGTAGGGCCGCTCTATCCAGACACAGTCTCGTCAGCAGCTAATCAGCTACTTTCTTCCCCCTGAACACCTAGATCGGATCTGGCACGCTGTTCACCATACATCCGGTTATGACCAAGAAAAACTCGCATTGATAAATATTCCCGACAAGAACGTTATTCCAACCTTCTTGACTGTAGCGGCGGAAGGGATAGAACCCTTCGAACCAAAGTCCCTTCGACAGGCCAAAAATGATCCACGCTGGCTCAAGTAGGAAAAGGGAATGATCGAAGAGATACAATCACTCAAACAAAACAAAACCTGGGAAGTGGTTGACCCTCCCAGGGATCGCTGAATCCTAAGTGGTAAATAGATCTTTAAACTCAAACAAGGATCCGGCGGAGAAATCGTCCGCCACAAGTGTAGATAGGTAGTCAGAGGTTTCACCCAGGAAGAAGGTATAAATTATAATCAGATATTTACTTCCTTAGTCAAACCAATAAGCTATAAAGCCCTGTTCGCAATTACTACTGCTCTAGATCTCGAGATCAAATAAATAGACATTAAAATAGTATTCTTATACAGCGTGATAGACTATAAGATCTATATTAAATAACCTCATCACACTACAGACGGCATATCAAGGATTTATAAGCTTTGCAAGATACTCTACAGCCTAAAGCAAGTACCTCATATCTGGTATCAAACGCTGACTAATTTCCTTTGAGATCTTAACTTTAAGCCTATTAACACTAATCTCAGCATCTTTAAAGGTTTAGAGCAATATATATATTATAGTATATCTCAATAACCTCTTAATCATCGGACTAAGTATTACAGAGATAAAGAAGATCAGTAGAACAGAATCCTCTATCTTAGTTAAGAGACCTATATACGTAAAGTCCTTCAGTAATTTAGGATACTAGATTGTACCCCTATCAGTATACCTATTAATACCTTACCACTACCAGAAAATAACCCTAAATATATATACTGTAGTGGGGGTTTCGATCTCAACATCGGAGTCAGGTGACTGGGGCCTTAGCAACAAGGCTGCCATTTAGTTTCGAGGGAATAAGTAGCGTTCGTTCCATAGTATCAAAATCAACATGCGATTTTCCCCTTATGAAATGTTCTACTGAGGCTGCTGAGCTTGCGGTATCGGTATACTGCTTGCGAAAGGTTCGATTATACGTTCCGTCAATTCTCAATAGCATCACACTTTGCCTATCTCCCTACTGCACTCTGCGAGTGTGGTGGTTTTGTCTTTTGTGATCGACCCGTCTGCTTGACAGACTGCCAGCGAGCATTGCATCTTTCAATACCTATTAAGTGTAAAAAATAAGTACTAGTATATAATCAGATCGCTGATATATATTATACTTGGAATTAGAGGCAATATTGTATATACTGTCTTAGTGATAAGTAGATACTTAATAAATCCTGGCCTATAATATATGAAGCTTATATATCGAATTCTTCAATACCTTAAGGGTACCAAATCTCTCAGTCTTATATATAAAGGCTAGCTCTAGATACTCTATAGCTTTACGGATATAGATTAGGCCAGCTATCACTAGATAAGATACTTAATAGTAGGATATCTTTTTAGCATCAGAAGTAGAGTAATTAGCTAGTAACCAAAGTACCGGAATATCGTTGCCTTATCAACCTACGAGACTAAATTTATAGGCCAGATATAAGTAATCAAGGAAGCTATCTAGTTAAGAAGACTCCTTTATAAGCTAAACATAGGCCAGGGACAACGTGTAACGATTATTTGCAGCGACGACCAGGGAGCTATTGCACTAGCCTTGAACCCTCAATATCATTTACGTACCAAGTATATAGAAATTCAGCGAAAGTGAAAGTGGCAAGGAGAAGTCCAAGACGCCGGAACAGTGGAACTCAAGTATATCCCAACGTCAGAACAGATAGCGGATGGCTTCACGAAGCCCCTTGTATGAGATAGATTTGAATGGTTTCGGGAAGGCCTTAGCATTGAATAATAGCCCGGTCAGATATAAACCTTCAAGAACCTGAAAACAAAGAAACGGGCATACAGGCACCCTTTCCTTTCTTTTCACTATTGGTTTTAGAAGGTTTTAATGGGGCTTTGGAACCATGATGAAAGATCGCCGATATCCTTCTGACGAAGGTGTTTCGCGAGTGGGAGTGTTGGAATATCCAGTCGCTAAGATAATAATGAGGCTCGGATCACGTGTATATATTTACCTACCTCTCACTTCACTTGTATCTTAGATATGTAATACAATACATAATCAACTCCCCTAAATAACATGAACACTGAAGCATCACTTAATAAACCAACAGGGCAGGGGGAACCCGCCCACCGCCCGCCCATGGGCGGGCTCGGGCTGAGCCTATTTAGGGTGGCCCAGGGCTATGTCAAGGTCTACGTAGGGCTGTTCATAATTACTAAAAAGGTTAGTAACTAATACCTTTAAGGTTAGATTACCAGAGAATATGAAGAGACTATATCTAGTTTTCTTGCCCGATAAGCTTCAAAAAGCTTCTAATTCAACGCTATTAACCGGTCAAATCCCAGATACCTCTTACATGACAGAGATCCTTGGTGAAATAGAAGAAGATGTGGATAAAATACTAGACTTACAGATCTATTATCGTAAGCTATAATACAAAGCATGCTGGATAGGTACAGTTGACGATAATTGGTACACTGCAAAATCTTTCAAAAACGTGCTATTGAAACTCATGGACTAACGTGTTTCACCACCGAACCGCCACCACCACCGAGCCGCCACCACCTCAAAAAAATCGCGTCGCGTGTAGCACCCCCATCTTTAAACCACCACTATGCCACCAATTCGTACCGGACGAACGCGCAAACTCATTGAGCAAGAAGGCAGGATCGAACTTGCTATACAGGCGCTAAGAAACAAGAAAATAGCTTCTATTACTGAAGCTGCGCGTGTTTATGAGGTACCTCGTACAACATTACGCGACCGCGTCAAGGGGATCGGTTATCGTAACACCACTCGCGCAAATTGCTCAAAATTGGATAAAATCGAAGAGGATTCGCTTGAGCGATGGATATTGGATCTAGATATGCGTGGCAAGGCCCCTACCTTAGCTATGGCAAAAGAGATGGCCAATATTCTACTTGCTCAGCGCTCTGTCAATACCCCTCCCTTACCACTCGGCAAAAACTGGATATCTCGGTTTGTTGCACGCCGTGAGAAGCTAAAAACCCGGTTTTCACGTCGTTACGCCGCTCAGCGTGCATTATGTGAAGATCCGGAGCTTATTCGCGAGTGGTTCGATCAGTATCGCAACATCATTGCTGAATATGGCATCCTTGACAACGACATCTATAACTTTGATGAAACTGGCTTCGCAATGGGGATCACTAGTACTTCAAAAGTGATCACTAGTCGGGAGTGGCAGGGAAAAAGAAAAGTCGTGCAGCCTGGTAACCGGGAGTGGGTTACTGCAATTGAGTGTATCCATTTGGATGGTGTTCTACCTCCAACGATCATTTTTAAAGCTAAGGTTTTTATATCTGCTTGGTGCAGTATTGTCCCAGACAACTGGCGCTTCGAGGTCAGTAATAATGGATGGACTACTGATCAAATTGGTATTTCATGGCTCGAAAATTCTTTCATCCCATACGTTAAGAAGCGTCAACATGGTGCCTGGTCTCTCCTAGTCATGGATGGCCATGGGAGTCATCTTACCCCTCAATTTGATACTCTATGCATGGAAAACAATATTGTGCCAATCTGCATGCCATCTCATTCATCGCATCTATTACAACCTCTTGATGTAGGTTGTTTTGGTGTATTGAAGCACTTCTATGGTCAGGCTGTGCAAGATCTTGCCCGCATAGGCTCTACAGATATTAAAAAGCTCGATTTCCTTCATCTGTACCCTACAACACGTGCAGCAACATACACAACCTCTACAATTGCTAGCAGTTTTATGGCATCAGGTATCATTCCATATGCGCCTGAGGTAGTACTTTCAAAACTTGAGGTTCATCCCCCGTCACCTACACTACCACCATCACGTGGTAGTGCTAGTAGTCATGAATTTATACCTCATACACCATCAAAAGCTATCAATTTCCGACGCCAGGCAGCATCAATCAAGCGATTACTAGAATATCGAGATATTTCACCCAATAGCGATATATATCAGCAATTGGAGCAGACTACCAAAGGTGCACAATTACTTGCTAATCAGCTTGTAATGCTGACGACTACATATGAGCGTGTAATGGCAGAGAATGGACGAAAGCAGCGAAAAAAGGCCTTACCTAATAAGCAATTGGTATACGAAGGTGGAATGACTGCCGAAGAGATGCAATTACGTCTACAAATTGAGCATGAGCACCAAATGGCAATACCCCCGGTGCCACGGCGTGCTCCGGCAGCTACAGAGACGACGATTAGGAGGCCTGTACAGCGCTGTACTAATTGCAGAGAGCCAGGGCACAAGCGGAATAGGTGCCCGGTTGTGAATAGTGCTTAGTTTTTGCAATATATTATATGGTGGTTGTGTAATATTCAATATATATCGTTGTAATGTAGGTGGGGTGGCGGCTCGGTGGTGGTGGCGGTTCGGTGGTGAAACACGTTACTATGCTCGATATCCTGGAAAGCCAGGCCTCTCGATACACTTAACGGACTGGGTGGTCGTAGCAGTGAATGATATATGTTTAGAGGATTATATAGATGACAATAAACGTTCAATCGATTTAACGAGGCTGAATCGCGTTTTGTGCGGGGGTAATATAATACTCTACAACCAGGCCCTACTTCCCCTTTTGGCTTAGCTCCATTTTCAGCTCTATAGCTTATCCATAAGCCTCACTTTCCGTAGTTTCTCTCTTCTTCACACTCAGTATCCCGTATTCAATGCACTTGAATCTCTTTAACCAGGCCTCCATTACAGTGGAGATCAGATTGGATAGTTGGTATAAAGACTGATTCTTAAAGAGATCAAGAATCATAGCTATCCTTGTATATTCTAATAATACTAGGGCTAGGGCAGACCTGTATAAGCGGGTGTATTGAAGTAGATTTATCCGCCAGACGACCGTGAATTGTACTCAGGGGAATTTAGGAATCCCGTAACAATCTATCCTCCCCTTTCAGAGACAGTCGACCCGACTATCAAACTAGTTATAATATGGTCAAGCTTATATGTAATAATATAGACAAAGGAAGTCTCTTGGAGTAGGTGCTGGGGGGTGTTGTTTGCGATATTAAATAAAGATAGTGTCTTTTTTTGATCTTAATAATTTTACGATGTATAGAGGTTGTTTTGCTATCAATATCTTTACTTTCCCTACTTTTCCTAAGTTACCTTAGTATCTTTTATTATTCTTTCCCTATCTTCCTTTAATATCTCTAGACTGAATACCTCTATAGCTAATAATAGCGATAGGAGTAATAGTGGTTTATATAACGGGCCAGGGCCCGGCTGATATTACGTGATGGTACGTAACCTTTTTCCTACCAGAATTCTAGTTACCCACAGCATTAAATTGGAGGCCTGAAGGGCTATGGCTCCTATTTTTGAACACCCCCTAATATCCTTATAGTAAAAGATCTACGGGTTGTGTATCTTGTATCCTATCTCTAAATATCTTAGCTTGTATAAAGAATTATAAAAGTGATACTAGTACTCACCTTTTCTTTTGAGTCGATTCACACCCTATATAATAGTCTGCCTTGGAGCCCTTGTATAATATATTGTATATAGTTGTTAGAAGGTATTGTAGGAAATAAATTATTATAGTACTTAATAAATTTAAGGATACTGATATAGCTTAGTAGAGTTGCTATAATAGTAATAAGGAGTAACGAAATCACCAGCACAAAAAAGAATTATTTCCAAATACAGATATATCTTAAGAATCGTATTTCTCCTATATAGTCAAATTGAAATATAGATTATCTTACTCAATATGTAGATTGATAGGAGGGTATAACTTATAATTTTTGAGAATAGTCTATAATAATAGTCTATAAGCTAGTAACAATATATTAAGCGGTAAATTACTTAATCTAGAATACTTTAGGTATTTTATACTTTATAAGAATGAATGGTTATACTAGAGCTTTCCTTTACTGAACGGTAATATATATTAGACTAATACTTTTCCCGTGCTACTTACTATTATACCATCTTTCTATAGTATTAGTTTATAATCTACTATAAGCCAAAATAAGGGTTTATTTCAATAATAACGAAAAATTCCAGACTAACTACATTTAATATACAGACTATAGAGGGTAAAAAGATATAATACAGAAAAGAATATCATATAATAAAACATTACTACCGGTATATGTATACCCTAAAATAACTTATATAACGTTATCACCAATCCTTTTTGTGAACCCAGATAATCTACACCTAGGCACACGTACTAGGTAATTTAGGCTGGATATAGCTGAGAAACATATAGAAATAAGACGAAAAAATAACGACAGTCACTTAAAGTGCATTGGTGAATGCGATTTAGGCCACCTCCTGTCCTTCAGCAATCCCCTAAGTTGTCTAGACAATCAGTACACGGATTTGACCAAATGGTTCACGTATCTTCGGGTCGCCTGGCTCTCATATTTTTTACAGAACCACAGATTGTATACCTTATTTATTAGCCTGTGCCACTAACTACGCGTCGCAGTCATTTTACCGGCCTCTGTAGATCTAGATCGGTGCTTTCCTCTTCCTTTTCCTTTTCATCCTCCGCATGAAACACAATATTGTATTTTTCTTTGGTCTGTCCGTTCCATTCCTCACACTCCCTACGTCCTTACTACGTGGGTTTTCTTGTTTCCTTGTTCTCTTGCCTGTCTCCTCTGAGTCTGACCTCGCCACTGCTTCGGCGCCGACTCGGATAGCTCTTGTAACCTACTGTGCAAAATTTCCGTCGTCCCAGAATTTGACTAATTTTATAGGGACTGCTGTAATTGAAATGATAAGACTAAAAGGGACCCACCACCAAGGATATAGTAAAAGGCCGATCGTTGGTACTCGCGGTGTCTCAAATGGACCTTTACTTTACAGCTAAATTTGTATTAATTATGCAATCACGATATTTTTGGTAGTTTGCCCTGTTTACACCAATATGGGTACCCATGGGTAACCGTGGGTCGTGCCGAAGTCTGGCCGTATCTTTTGAAGTTGGACTTTTGGTGAGCGACGGTCGGGAGGTGTTCCTTGGGGTTTTTTGACCATTCTATCCAAGGACAAGGAATTTCTTATTGTCACCCCCACTCACACTTTGATAGGGGTGGAATCGAATAGGGATTTTTCCTATTCGTATTCGAAAAGATCTTTATATGGTCTTATTCGAATCCGAAACTATTTGTTGAGTATCACGGTGGCTGAACCGTATGGCAGGGATTGGGAACTGATATATATGAGGTATCCCGCCTCTGTAACAGACATAATTAACCAAAATCAACATATCTATTTCAACAATTACTATTATTTTCGAACATTAGACTATTCGATATTCGATTCCACCCCTAAACTCCTTCATCCGCATCCGGTTTTTCCATTGTAGATGTTCGGGTTTTATCAATCTTTTTTTTTTCGCGATACTGAGAAGCTATTTGGTTTCACGTCAGTAGGTTTTGGCGATGACGTCATCTAGAATTATAATTCAGGCTCAAGGACAATCTGTGTCGGAAAGCACAGTCTATTTTGGAAGCGGTCTGGATAGCGTGTACTTACAAATATGTTTAAATTACCAAAAATATGCATTATAACTACGTGAAATAAGATCTACCATTGCTCTTCAAATCAATTGGATAAAAGGACATTCAGAGAAAAAAAAATCAAGATTTTACAGCCGATTTTAGGTTAATTTTGGCACACACTGACTTCCGCACGTGATGGGTCTAAATCTCGTATTCTCCTAAGATAGGATAGGGCCACTTGGAGTCAACTTGTCCTTACTTTCGCACTCACTGAAAACGACACTCAATATGAACCGCTGGTGGGGACTCCCGCTTCCCCCGGAGATTGTTTTAGAACTATTTGAGTATTTGAAACCCTCAGATGTCGTGGCTCTCGCGCAAGCCGCGGAGGGGTTCGCCCAGCTCGCTGTCTCAGCGTATTCGTCTGGTCTCCGCGAACATGGACGAACGATATTGTTCTCTGCAGTTACATGTGGGCATATAAGCATTGTCCAGCATTATCTGGAGGGAGGGGCCGATCCCTGCGCCGCTGATGACCAAGGAAACACGCCATTGCACCTTGCCGCTGGTTTCGGTCACTCCAACGTAGCGTCGTTACTCATTGAGGTTGGAGCCGATATCAATGCACTCCATAATAATGGACTAAGTCCAATGGACTATGCCATTATAATGGGACGTGAACGCGTTGTGGAGGTTCTTTTGAATAAAGGAGCCACCATTACGGATGTTAGGATCGGCCAGGTTCAAAGAACGACTCTACATGCCACTGCTATCAAGGGTTATAGCTATATTGCAGAGATGTTACTAAGCCATGGAGCTCCTATTGATGTCAAGGATAGCCATGGTCATACGCCTCTTCATTTAGCTGTTTCGGAAGGGAATCTTGAGATAGTTCGGGCGCTGCTTCTTGCTGGAGCAACCGTCGGCATTCAAGATAACATAGGCGACTCATCACTGCATCTCGCCGCCAGCAACGGATACACTGTTATCGTACAGGAACTTCTGAATAAAGGAGCAGACCCTTCTATGAAAGGTCACGAAAATGCTACGCCATTGCACCAAGCATCGTTACTGGGTTTTGTTGACGTTGTCCAGCTTCTCCTAGAATCCGGGGCAAACATGTCCGCTCAGCGTTTAGATGGGGAAACTCCTCTTCTTCAAGCCTGTGGTGCTGGTCATGTTGCAATCGTGCGGCTGCTACTAGCTGCCGGAAGCTGTCCTTCAATTCCAGATGAGGATGGGTCCACACCACTACACTTCGCTGTCCTTTCAGAGAAAGCAGTAATCGCCGATATGCTAATCGAGGCTGGAGCACATGTTGACAGCATGAACGATAAGAAACATACCCCCTTACACTGGGCAGCAAAAGACCATGAAGAGATGGTTCCTACTTTGCTGAAGCATAAGGCCGACCTAAATGCTCTCAGTCATACAGGGTGGACTCCGCTACATTGGGCAGCTAATGAGGGCCATGTTGGTATAGCGACAGCTTTATTGGAAAGCGGCGCCCTCGACCAAACTCAAAATCAACAAGGGCAATTAGCGCTGCACTTGGCTGCTCAAAAAGGCCATAAAGATGCTGTTGAATTGCTTATCCAATGGGGCAGCAATCCACATCTCACCGACAATAAATTTCAAACACCTCTGCATTATGCAGCTGAGGAAGGATATGAAGATATGGTAAAAATACTGCTGAGCAACAAAGTCAGATCAGATGTCAGAGATCTTGATGGTCGGACTCCGTTATACTATGCGGTAATTGATGGGAATTTGAGGATCACAAGGTTGCTTCTTGACCTCGCTCCCACCCTTGATAAGACCGTCCAGGAAGCCTTTCTAGAGGCCGCGGAAGCTGGGCACGAATTGGTGATTCAACTTCTCATCGAACATGGTATTGACCTGTCTTTCAAAGATTCAGAGGGATATACCGCATTGCATCGAGCCGTTCTGGGGAGCCAAATTGAAATCCTGGAACTTCTTATCAATACAGATGTTGATTGGTCTGCCCGAGACAACCAGGGGAAAACGGCATTGCATCTTGCTGCCCGGGAGGGCGAGGATGCGATCGCCAAGGTTCTTTTGGGAATCAGTGAGATAAGGAATCTTCAGGATTATGATGGCTGGACGGCTTTGCATTGGGCAGTTGAGAACGAACAAGACAACACCGTCCAGACTCTATTGGACGCTGGTGTCGATCCCAATATTAAGTCATTCAACGAATTCACGCCACTTGATTTAGCAGAATCTGGGGCTTTAGAAACAATGGAGCAGTTGTTACGAGAGGCATTAGCAGCGAGAGATAGACTCACCGTCGGCGACACGCTCCCATGAGAATATCAGTGCATTCTATCAAGTCGAGAACCGGAGAATTACTGCTAGGAGCGCCATGACTAAAAACTGGAGATCAAAATAATTCGTTAAGATCACCACATATTCACAACTTATTCTTGCCTAACAACCGCATATTCTCATTTAAAACTTCTCATTGCCTTTGCGGAGAAAGGAGGAACCATGCAGTCCCATGACGACGTTCCAGGCAATATTCGGGAAGACTTATATATGGAAGAGCAACAACTTATATATGGAAGAGCAACACAGACTGGAGAATCAATAATCCAAGAATAACAAGATAACTGGTACCTCGGGAAGCTGTTCTCCTATAAATTTCAACTTTAATGGGGTACAGCCGCCCCCTCAACTAGAAGCGCCTAATTTGATTACAAGGCTAGCAATGCTTCTGTCACCAAATCGTCTATCCAGTGAGGACTTCAATATTCCTGGACTTCGAGATGAGGCTGTTAGAGAGTACACCGCTTGGCATAAAATAAATGTCGGTGATGATAATTTGAAAGCCCAATTTCGAGAAGCCCGCGATATTGCTCTGGCAAATAGTCTAGATCTTTAAATTATATATAAGGACTAAGACCTGTTGTTTTTTATCGATAAAGGGATCGTGGTAGGTATTGCCCACTAGTTCGTAAGAGATATTATTAAATAGTTTCAGAGTGTTAAGAATATTTTATTGTTTGAGGAGAGTGCGCAGCCAGCTTTCTGAGGGTGTGTAGTGGCACTAGTGTTGACGTTATATTAGTTATTGAACTGTTCATTTTACACTATATAGTATAACTATCCCTCTTATGAATTTCTGAAGTAAAGTATTAGGCGTGAGGTATAATGTAAGATAGAATAATTAAGGTATTAAGTAGATTTAGTAAGCTTATAATATAACTTTAACACTATGCTTTTTTAAATCTAAGGACTAATTATCTTTAATATCCACACTAGTATGTCTGAAATAGCCTAAGGCGCTTTGCTTTCGTGATCCAACAACTTCGATATACTATTTGAGGAAAGTCTGAAACCCTTATTCTGAGTCTTCTTCATACCACACCCAGTTCTGTCTAATAAATACTTTTAATTCTAAGAAGAACTCCTCGATCGGATTTAAGTCAGGAAAGTAAGGTAGTAAATATACTAGCTTTACTCCTGTATCAGTGCATATCTCTTTTATACGATTAAACTGATAGAAAGATACATTATCTATAATTAGGACGGATTTTAGCTCGGGCTACCTTCCACAATACCTCAGTAGCTAGTTACTAAAGTCCTCAAATAGTGTAGTATTAGTAGAGCCCTAAAACACCCAAGATAGCACGATTCTATCCTGGGAGTATACGGGCAGTATCTGGTAACACTAATCACTCTGGAAGTTGGCCACCTATATTAGTGCTATACCTAATAGAGACTAGCCTATCTGTCTGAACCCAATTTACTTATTGTATCCAGACTTATCCATATAAACAAAGTAATACAACTGGAAATCAGACAGATCATATAGGTAGAAATCTCTTTGGTCAGCGTTCTACGTCTTTGCTCTCTATTAAGCCACCTTCTTTGACTAACTAACTAAAGCGAGAGCCTACTTAAGACTTGAATTTGTCACCTGGACACGGAACTTATCCTAAAGAAAGATTGCCATCTCATCTACATACAGCCCAGGTTTTTCGGTCAGATAATCACACAAAGCCTCTAGTATCGGAGGTTTTACGCTTTATCGTCAACCGACATAAGTTGGGGGTGCTCTGATATTTCCGAACCAGCGAAGGTTGTTGCTGATGTTAATGACTGAACGCTTGCTACATTCAGTAGCTTTGGCTATTTGTGAGGTAGTTAGTGATTTGCTCAATATTATATCCTGAATTATCTCAAGCTTTGAGAGGGGGAGTCTAGGCGCTATATCGTCCAAAGACAGCGTAAGGATTGGGATGTTAGGGGAGGTAGGATTTGGCGGAAGAAATGGGCAGGCGACCACCGAATATAAAGAAGAACCGATCCATTTGCTCAACCCTGCTCACCCCTCTGCTTAGGGAGCAGGTGGAAAATTTTTGGGCGGAATGTCTGGGGGATTCCATCTATTAGGAAATACACGTGACTTGATGACCTCCCCGTTACTGGGAGCTTGGTGGCCATTTTAAAACTGCGGACTCCAAAAAAATAGTGGTGCGAGGACTGGACCATCATGTAATAGGCCGACCGTAGCATAAAATTGGCTGCAAGTGCTTATACTTGATTTTTATAGCTGTCAGCACTAGGTATCAAAATTTTAATTCAATACGTGCTTTCAGCTAGAGGAAGCTTGCTGGCTATCCGTGCTGTGCTTGATCTGGGTTACTGGCTCGGGTTGATCCGCTTCCAAGGAAGGTGCTGATCCTACCTCACAGGGCCTGCCAATCTTAGTTTGGTCCCCTGTCTTGGCGCCGTAAGGTCACCTGATCGTTAAGGTCACAACACGCCCCCTTCTTGAGCTGGGGCGAAGCCTATGGCGCTTCGAATCGACTAAACACCGTAAATCGACTTGATGATGGTATCGACATCATTCTGTGACAATAACCATAGGCTTCAGGTCAGAGAAAACCGTGGCTCGATCAACACGGAGTTCCATCTCCCGCCGGGTAAGTCAGGAACCGGACATAATTGAAAGGTGGATTTATTAATGACCACTTCCCACCCCAGAGCGACCAGAAACCCCGCCTAGTCCTCTATCGACTATCCCATTCCCGTGCGATGCAGACTTTGTCAGTCGTAAAATTCTACTTCATCAGATTCACGAAAAAAGTTCAGTGCCGGGGTTAAGAATAGCACTGGTTGGCCTCGGCGGTGTTGGGTGAGTGTTAAAGCGACAATAACGTGGATTTTTGCTCATGTCCAGAAGAAAATTATAGCTTACCCTCGAATATTCTTACTGGGTCCGATTAGAATCACTGGAAGCATGGGTTTTCTGGGTCCATGCAAGTAACAAAGCTAGGTTCAAGCAAAGTTTCTGGGATATCGTAGATCAGGTTAAAATCCCCGGTTGCCAGGATCCTAAACCTAGGAAGTCAATATATATAAACTAGTCGAGAACTGGCTCTGTGGTGAGAAGAAAGGAAAATAGGTTTTTATCCTTGATAATGCTGATGACGACAAGTTCCTCTGTTCTATTCTGGCTAATAGAAAGGGCACTCTAGCAAGAGAGCTACCAAATATCTTAATAAAGCCACTGCTAGAGTATATTCCTAGAAGCCGAAGCAGATCTATCATAATCACAAGTCGAAGCAGAGAGGTCACGTTAAAGATAGTCTATTACCAAAATCTTATAAAAATTAAACTAATAGAAAGGTCTAAAGTAATAGAGCTGCTTCAAAAACATCTTAGTCAACCCAGAGAGAATCAAGAGAGTCATCTGTTTGTGGAAGTACTTGAGTCTATGTGACGAACCTGGCCGCTGTTGCCTGAGTCACCTGATAGATACGTCACGTGCCCAGACACCAGTTCATGTACGATAGTTGCGATGATAGCTTTCTCTCTTCTTTTCTTCTCTAGTTTTATTACCTTTCGTCAAAATACTACAATATTTCAATATTTGAGTCCTCACAAGCTCCACATTGGACGCTGGACATATCGAGTCTGAATAATTACAGCGAGTCCATGCAATCTACGGCGACGGAGAACTACCAAACTACAGAGCAAGGATATTATATGGTTGGCCCTCTTCAATGATTATAACTCATTACCCAATATTGAGTTGGATGCTAGAATCAAATGTTAAATCAAAACAAATTGTCGTAAAAATACATCATTCCAAATAATCCAGGTCTCGATGTGGCGTATGGTGAGCCACCCACCGATGGGAACAGTAGTTGGGAGTCCAGTGACCTCCATGGCCCAGGTCTTTCATCTGAAAAAAAAAAAAACAGGAGACAAAATATGAGAAACTGATCACAATTGGATCTTGATATAACGTAGCAATTATTCATCATACCTTTTCACTTATAATATCCCATTTTAGATCTACCCAATGTGAATAAGCCTGAAATAAGGCAGACACATCATCGTCAATACTCAAACGTAGGCGTTTTTGCAGTCGCACATATCTCATCTGCAGAGCTGGAGCACGGTATCTTCTTCCAAACACATTTTCGAATGTAGCGCTGATCTCTCTCCATGTTTTACTTCTCTCATCTCTTAAAGTAAGAAGAAGCTCCTCTTCAAAACTCAATTGGGTGTCGCGTTTGCTTGTTTTATTCTCGGATGTGGAAGGGCTGGAAGAGGGCGAGAGTTCCATGGACTGAGGAAGACAAGTTGGAATATTATCCATGCAGGGAAAGGCAACTGGGTCGAGAGAAAAGGACTCGGAGTTTTCGCTGAGTGTGGGTGTATCTCCTGGCCATAGGTGAGTATTCGAAAGATCCTTGAGTGCCCATTGCTGGAGGATATTTTCGCATGGCACGGAGAGATTACTAAGAATGTCCGGTGCCTGATTGCCATGAGACATGGTTATAGAAAGGGGTATGGAACAAGGTTGAGATCTTGATACAGACAATCCGGCGAAGTAGAGTGATTAGACACTCATATAGAAATTTCTTCCCTTGAAATTAAACCATAGCTTAAGGTATCAAGCATCCCGGGCCCTTTAGTTTCAGCCCACATTATAGTACCACAAGCAGGATTGAATATGTTATTCTCTTTCGCTGTTGGTCCTACTCAATTGGTAGTTGCAGCGCCACATCCATCATTAGTCTGTAAACTATTCTGAGACCGGTCCTCTCAATCCTGGTCACATTTTTGTATTGTTATGACGCTCAGAGAAAGCTCTAATGCCTTCTCATATCCCCTGATTTAGTGAATTGGATCGGATCAATGGTAAAGCTATCCATGAAGAATGAACCAACGTCAATCCACTGCCTTTTGATTGAACTTCTGAGCATAGTGATCCTGATATTCAGAAAGTGATTCCAGAACCCGGAGGAATGAAACAGTCTATTTCGCATTCGTATTTCATTAATCTGGCTTGGCTCCTCACAGGAGGAATTTGGACCATGCCAAGGAGATTGATTTACAAGCGTTTGTCCAAAGTATCCTGTAGCGATCCTTCGTCTGAGCGTGTAACAGCTGCAGGGGGCGGTTTCATCTGCTAGATGGGGCCAAATTGCTATTCGAGTAAAGTCTGCCTCGGCCAGGATTAAATTCTTCCAATAGAAAGTGACAAAATATGTACATGCCCCTCAAAGCGCCCTTGGCGGCTGTCAAGCTCACTTGGTTAAATCTTGTCTTTTTTTGATTTCTGTTGGAAGGTCACGATAGATCTCAGATTTTATTGGCTAAATCTGAGTAAGCGCTGTACTCCTTTTATCAATTTGGATGTTACATGAGACATTTCGTTGTATGATACCATCGATCCTTCACCAGGAAGAAAAACGTGTTTGTATTCAACTTAAGCGAGTTGTGATTACCCAAACCGCCGTCGAAGCAATCAAAGTCCATCATGAAGCGTTTCATGAAAATGGTAATTTCATACGGAAATAAAACATAGATGATTCCTTTGACCGGGATGATAGCTAACAGGCATATATAGATCAAGGCTTCAGGTATAGATTACGACTTAATCAATGATAACGGACACGGAGTGACCTTGCATGGGTTGCCCCGTTGGTTCTGGACAATGCAAAATTTAGTTTTCGTCGGCGTTGGATTGAACACCGGCCCGGGGTGACCTAGGAGGCTGAGCGGAACCGCCTCATTGATGTGCATCATCACCCTGCATGTACCCCTCCTCGTGACAAATAAATACATCATCCAAGTTCGGGGCCCGCACTGTGCACAGCCTGAACAACTATCTTCTAGGTCGATGTCATATCTTCTCCAAGATCCGGACCAGCCACTCTGATTCTCGAAGATCGCAACTGATTTAATTCTCGCTTTCTCCCATTTCCTCTCATTCTTTTTCTCAATATCTCACAACAAGAGATAACAACATGGCTGCCACAGATGCACAGAACCTCGAGAACCTAGTGAAAAGAGAGCTAGCCTCTCCACCGAGCATATCGCTGCAGATTCTCGGAGTACACATGAATGGGGAACAAAGTGAAATCGACTTTGATCTGCGGATCGAATACCCAAATGAAGCGAAAATAAAGTGTGGAAAGCTTTTTACCAGAGATCAAAATGAATTCCACTCCTGGAGCCAGCAGCAAGACCCCGAAGGTGATTTTCTGGCAATTTCACGTGGCTGGATTGAGGCATGGTTAGGTGATGGTGATGAGAGAAAAAGGTACACAGTCTAAATCTATCGTTAGGGAAATTCGACTAACATAAGAAAAGCTGGATCATCCAAAATTCATGCTATGTCCAAGAGAAAGATCTCACTGCTATTAAAGGTCATCTCGAAGCACTTGCACGCAGAACTGGATATGGCGGAGATGTAACCTCTATGGTCCACACTCCGCTCTTTGAGAAAATTATCCCCGAGAGCACTGCAGTACTTCAAGTGGAATGGACACCTGATAATCTTTTCATTCCTATGGACAATGATTGGAACTCTAAGGTAATGAATGCAATGGTCGACAAACGGAAAGGATCCATATCCTTCGATGAGCCAAAGCCATCTCATGGCCGTTCGCCATTCCGCAGAGCCATGAAATTGAATGATACAGCCAAGCTTGTGTCTCGTGATCAAAACAAGGATGGCGCAGAGTATACAGTGCTGAAGTATTCGAAGTGGGGATCTAGTACCTGAGAAGAGAAGCAGGAACTTGGAGTTCCCGTGTTTCAACGTCAATTTATCCTATCAATGTGCAATTTCTGTATGAGCTTTTAGCTCTCTGAAGATGAATTATCTCTTTTAGTAACAAATAACAGTTTTGGATTTATCTTTAAGCGCAGCAACGATGACTTTTACGATCTACTGTTGCACAATGCCGTTGCATTGCACTTATCTTTTATCTTTCTGAACCATAACTGCTTGCAAAGTTGCCTACTTTCAGTCTCACCTGATTTGATCTATTAAATTGCCGTTCAAGCTCTCACAAAATGTAATAAATGCTAACTCGACTGAATTACCTGGGAAATAGATACTTAAATGATGATTTTATCTCATTTCATCCCCTTGTGTACATTCACAAAACAGCAACGAAACATTCAAAGCAAAAGAGAAACAAGCGCAGAGATCCAGTGAATCCCTTAATCAACACTGGTAGGGAGGCAACTCATCTCCGGAGTGCTCAATCCCAACTTCAAAATTGTCCGCGGATGGATCGAAGGCATACCCACACTCGCCGTTACCAACGCACTGTTCAATAAGGGCATGATGAACCCGAGCCCAATCGTCTGAGTCTATGGTAATCTGCTCGCACTTAGCGCAAACATAGGCGAGGCAGGTTCCAAACCTTGCCTCGTGGCAATAGCCAGGGTCCACCAAAACATTAGATTTGTAGTTTTTAAGCTGGTCTGCCAGTCGCTTGCAGTCGTCCCAAATAGGAGGGCTTCCGGGGTGCTGTTATGAGTGTTAGTCAAACTTGACTTGAATTGAACTCTAGGATCTGGGACGGTATTTTGCTATTTAGCACTCACTCCCGAGCAATCTATGGTCACAGCTCGCTTTTGAAAACCGTTGGATCGAGAATTCAATGTCGTTGAAGACGTTTTAGTTCTTTTATCATCGCCCTTGGGTCGGTTTTTGATGTCCCAGGTAAAACCCTCTGGAAGCTTGGGAATATCTTCAAGGGTGGATATCTGGGGGCGTCCGCTAGAGCGAGTGGTTGGATTTGAGACAGCACTGCCAACACCAAGTAGGGTTGCGAAAATGACGGAGTTAACAAGTAGTCTCATAATGAGATGTTTAAGATAGTCTTGAATAGTGAAGTTCAATGTTGCTCTTTGTGAAGATTTGATCATTCAATTTTTTGGACTTATATACATCTTGCAGCAGTTATTACCTTCGTATATTGCTACGAGCTATGCCGCAGGTAGTAATTATGTTGCTTATAATACAGGTTATACTGTGGGTTATACTGTGGGTTATACTGTGGGTTATACTGTGGGTTATACTGTGGGTTATACTGTGGGTTATATGGATGGTTGTATGAATGGTTATTCTGCGAGTTGTACCCCTTGTTATATTAAAGGTTATACTGCGGCATACACTCCTAGTAACCTATCATGATATAAGACTTCTCGAGCCTAATATAAGAAGTTCCTATTTTCCTCATAATCTGAGTATCATCATTCTCAGATCCTTACTATAAGAAGCCTTTTGAACCTTTCTTCAACCAACGGAAATAGGTATCAACTCTTCCACAATGCGTCTTGCCCTGAACCTATCCGTCTTCCTCCTCATTTCCGGAATTGTAGCAGCTTCTGAGAAAAACCACTGTCACAACACGTGAGTCCTATCGGGAAGGAGTGTATGGAATCTACCACTAACATCGATATAGGGCCGATCCCCATGAAGGCCTCCCCAAGAACATTTGCATGTGCCCGGATGGTAAGTACTATCTCACAGTCTTATTCAATTTTTGGTATTTCTAGACTTTACCATGATTCTCATGATCTCTGTAGGTCGTTGCTACAACGATATAGATGGTGGAGTTTGCGAGGATTTGAGTGAGGAGACTGTTTGTATCACGTAACTTCGCCAGACCTATCTTTCTTTTTGAATTTACATACTATTGTACTTTGCTCCATCTTGACTGTGAGGTCACCAATAAAATATAGCATAGAATCATACATAGACATAACAAAATGCGCTATCAATTGTGCTCATTAGATCCCCCATGGCAACAGGACCACCGTTTGCATAGCCTATGTTGATAAAAGTATCCAGAGTAGTGTTAGCAGAGACGGGCTGATTCAAGAAAGTTTCGGTTCCCGAGATGGCATTTTGACGAGATTTCAAATCCAAATTCTGCCAGATCCACCAAATGCGATCGATCATGCCATGGTGCTGCCAGAATGCTGGGTCGCCGGGACTTACAAAGCCGTCGCGCCCTGGATCGCCGCCTATCGCATAATGGCCACCACCATGGACACCAATGGATCCAGAACCTGGCATTCCCTGCATGGCCATCTGAAAGCTCCATATGTCATTGTTATTGAGAATTAGCTCTACAATTGCGGTGTAGTTGTTCCATTTTTGCAATATTGCAGATGTCAGATCCCGTTTCAAACAACGCGGATTGTGATTGAGAGGATTGGCCGTTGTACTCACGTTGCCGCCTGGAACAAGCAATGAAGCCGGGCCTAAATTGAGCTGGTAGTTTTTGAATGGACCAGTAGTTACACAGCCACCTCCGCTGCCCCTAGGAAGATAAATTGGCGCATAACCCTTCAAGGGCAACATCACACCCGGTTGATTTGGAATGTACGCTCCATTGCCGGACATTGACGTATCACTCCCATCGAATATTGGGGAAGTTTCCATGGCATTGACATCAGCGCCCCAGTCCCAAAATCTGAGATGAGAAGCTGGGGTGTGAGTGTGAAACAGGATTAATCTATCATGGCTCGGGAATCTATCAGACTTACGGATAATCGCCAGTGTAGCCACACTCCGTTCGCAGAGCTTCCTCAAAATTGTATATAAAGTATCGATGCCAGGCTAAAAAGGTACCCTTTATAGAAATACTTAGTTATGGTTCCAAATGTTTCTAGAATGTGCATTAGACTATACTGAGTAGTGGATTTGTCCTGTCTGGTTGATGTGGGTAGCCACAAAGTCATCATATCTTGTTTTCGCCCCAAGCGCAAGCCTAGGAGGCGTGCGGGACGGGATTTTCTGCAAACATAATACAGATTTTATAAAGTCTTTCTTCTCCTTAGAAGAAAACGCTCTCCAATCCCGACGAAGTCTCAGGGTTCGCGAAGTACATCCGTCTCTGTTCGGGGGTCTATAGGCGAGGCTCTCACAAGCAACAGAAAGGGCAATCCTAGCCAGCTGTTCTAACTGGATCTGAGCCTTCGCCATCGAAGGTAATGCCGCTGTCGGCTTTGGAGGAAGTGGTAGATTCGCCGCTTTGAAATCGCAAAATGGAGCTGGAATTCCCCATGTCTGCAGGATAAAGAGACCCAAAATAGCGTGAATGACAATCATGACCATGTTGATATACTTGTAGATGAAGGCAAAGGGGAATCCCGACGATCTATGCAGCCTCCTAGATATATGCGCTGGTTATTCGATTGCACCAAAGTCAATCAATGCTTATCTATCTGCCATGACTAATACAGCAATAAATATACTGCGATGCTAAAATAAATTATTCCAGCTTGTTTCAAACGAACTTTCGCAATATGGTGGATCCGAACTTATTTTTTATTATCATTGGCGAGGACGGCTATCCATAATGATGCATTGATTTTTCTCTCTACTTCCATCTCCCATGCTGTAGAACTAGGAGATGGGAGTCATACAGTACAACTACCTGAGCATCATCCGTACAGGAAAGTCAACAGCAACAAGCAGGATAGTTTTAATTCCAGATAGTCCAAGATGGCTTTGGCTATTTCAAACTCTTCACTTTTGTTGATACGAAGGATGGTAAAATACCATTAGGCACGGGATTATTCAGCATCTACTCCATACACCCCCTTGCATATGTTTTTCGTATGGTAAAGAGAATCAATTAGGAATATCGATGTCGTAACACGCCAATACCAGCCCTTCGGGACATGTAGGGCAGTCCCAGCAGCGACATCAAGATAGTTCGTACCAGTACCCATAAATCTAATAAGGCCAATGATGATTAATAACTCTTCTTCTCAAATACCCACTCCCAGAAGTCGGCCGAGTCACATCATCCGCCAACGCTGCTTACGATGCAGTGTCATCTGTCACACTATACCCGGAATCGAGTGTTCCTCAATGGACTTTCACATGCTAGGACAACGTTACCGACAGGCTTTCTAGCCGACGTGTCATACACTCTTTGTATTATCGGTGTTAGTTTTGTGAAATGCAAACTGCCCAATGGACCTGATCTAGACATCTATGGACCTACCCTGAGCCTATAGTTTGTCTCCTTCTTATATTCGTATTGAATTTATGGAATCACCTGGGTTAAATATCACATCTAGAAAATTCTTCCACTAATATCACTCACTTCTTTTCTACTCCAAAACGCTGACAGATAATCGCAATCTCCACGGTCAAAGCTCATACAGCAATAGCTGTTTCTGTCGCTGGCACTGCGTACGTAGTCGACCGGCTAGTCAAATCTTCGAAAATATTGGCCACTAAGCATACTACTGAAAGCTGGTGTCTGAGCTACCGCCAGAATTAGGTTCCTTGTGCTACCAAACCAAGATAATACGGACAATGGAAAGTAACCAAAATTATTCAAAAGAAATCCCGCCACCATCACTTAGAGGCGATCTCCATCACAGAATATACACTCGTTCAACAGCTAATCATATTGATGACAAGCACTTAACACAGTATTATGTACAGATCAGGAACCATGGCACGCTGTGTTATGTAAGCTATGCAGCTGGGGTCGCGCATGACTAAAACTGCATGATGAAATTCAATATGCTCTCGAAGCTCTGTCATAATCCGGCACACATCAGCAGCCCGGTGGAGACTTTACGCAGCATACTACATGTTGTGCGGAGAGGGCTATAGAACAAGCTTTCCGAACTGAAAACTCCTGGTGATCCTGCCCTCGCACGGTTTGAATTGCACAGGGAACATATTTTTTATGCTGCGAGCTTTAACTTCTTAGCCATCGGACTGTCTAGCAATTCACCGCCAAGTAAGATCCTTCGGAGCCTGATTCCAATTTTTACAGCATTGAAGAATGGGCAATTGCAGCTACGCTACCCGCTTTCCGCGAGACAAAGGGCACCACAAACATCGCAGAACACTAATTTTTCGGGCAGCACAAATTTAATTGAAGCTCGAGTACGAGTTAATATGACGTGGAAGTTACTTCACATATTATTATATAAGGAGAAAGTCAGGTTTCCTTTCACTCTGGCCACACAATTGGTCCTCCGCACACCGTGACATGTAACTTCAAGGATACTATTGACATGAAGTCAGTATGGCTATGAACAGGGAGATAAAAACTCGAAAAGCGTCATGAAGGAAGTAAAGTGAAGCATACGCAGCACATCAGACGCAGTGCATGAGGCCTCCAAGCATTTGTTGAGAGCCTTCACATATGCCTGACTCGGACAGGTGCATGAAGTCTGGAGATAAGAGCTACATCCTGCCGCAACAGCGGCCTGTTCATTGCATTCCCGCTGATTTTCAACTCTTTTGTAAGCCTTTTTCTGTATGCTTCACTACATTAGGAACACTCACCAAGCAAGTAGTCATATTCTGAGGGTTAGTTTGGTCTTGTCCCACTGCAAATGAAGACAAGACAGCGAGGGGGGAAATGGCTGAGAGCCTCATTTCATAGAAGAGTTGAAAATTAGTATTATGGGACAAATTGAAGTGAACCGGAAGGTAACATTGGCATTGACACCTCCGAGTGGGCGGGCTAGGTCTCTTAAATATTCGCTACTACGACTTGAGTGCTTTTCTGACATTGCAATACTAATAGCAAAACTTATTGGTCAGAGGCTTTTCTCAAGAATAGAGTTTCTCGTGGGATACTGATGGGGTTCCTTGTTCCGGAATCATGGGGAATTGCGTCGATGGAGGTGTAATTTTAAAGAGGGCTGAAGGAGGGATTACGGATCGGATATCTGTACTTGAACTTCCAATCCAATACCTTAGCCTGCGAATCACTAAACCGAATGATGATAAGAGCGACGGGGTATAATTTGATTACGACATAATCGTTGCTTAACAACAGTAAAGCATAAAAATATGAATATCATGAACATGCTAAGGCTTGTGACCTTGAAGAGTGCACAGATTATACAGTTTTCTTGGTATGGATATGCATGTGTCAACTCTAAGATGGTAAAATAGTTACTGGCAAATAACTGACTAAAAGCAGTTATGATATATCGACTTATATTGATAGATCCTGACAACCTGGCATCTACCCCAAATCCACCAGTTACGACGTACCCCATGAAAAATAATTCACCAATTTCAACTATGCCAAGATAATATTTCTACACATTCAACTACCTGTTACACACTTCGCTAACTGGTCACGGTGAGTGGTTAGATCTTGGGTAAACAACTTACCAGTTGTCCTCTGTGTTGTTGGTCGTCTGTGATATCTATCACTCATACTCCTTAAGTATCAACTCGTAATCGTACCGTTGCTATGCTAAGCCTTATACGGACTCGGATCCTATTGAGTAACTTCGAAGGAGGTGTTAGGTAGTACACTAAGTAGTTTAGTTCGAAGAGCTCCCCTACTTGTCGTGTGTTTGTCATAAGAGATGAAACTATATAAAGAGTAATCCAAAAGGTATACTACAGTAACTTAGATTAATTGATCGCGAAGAACTAAATACATATATGGTTAAGTATTTGTATATTATAGTGGGGATTTCGATCTCAACATCGGAGTCAGGTGACTGGGGCCTTAGCAACAAGGCTGCCATTTGGTTTCGAGGGAATAAGTGGCCTGCACTCTGTGAATGTGGTGGTTTTGTCTCTTCGTGATCGACCCGTCAGCTTGACAGACTGCCAGCGAGTATTCCCATCCTTCAATAGTTATTCTATCTAAGGATAGCTACTTACTATATAGACTTAGTAGTGTAGTGTTGGTGACGGTAGAAAGAACGCCTGTTCTCGCGTCACGCTAGCCGTTTCATGGTCTAATGCAGTATTAGTTGGCACGGGGAGTCAGAGGCTGATTCCGGCCGCTCGTCGCGTGATCTGATCCCTTCGTTCCTTCCCTAGGAACGGTTGGCTCTCGGTGGCCCATCTGTAGGCTGCGGGGGCCATCTTTTCAAGTTGGACTTTTCGTGAGCGACGGTCGGGAGGTGTTCCGTGGGGTTTTTGACCATTCTTTCCATGGACAAGGAATTTCTTATTGTCACCCACACTCACACTTTGAACCCGTAATTTTACCCGTGTCTTACAAATTTATGCTAACACAATGAAGTCGAGTAATGGAGAACCGTCCCAAAACTGCTCCGCCCACGGTGGCGTTGCTTGGCGTTAAGCTCCGGTGTGTAAGAACAATACAGTCACGTGTCAATGGTAAAGGAATAATTTCCAACAGCGATGGGTCTAAGTGGGCAAGGTTAGAGAAACAATCAAAGAGTGAAGATGGTGACAAGTTTCAGGACGCACTGTACACTATCCATAGATTCGATACTGCACAGTCCCGACTCGGATCCTGTCAAGGAGAAGACCCCCGACGATTAACCGGCCTGAATCAGGACCCAGTTGAGTTTGTACCATACGACGCTAGTCAAGCTAGTTTCACTAGCCTGAGATGATCGGTAAGATCGCCATCCAGGGTTCCTTAAAATGTATGTCTATGAGACAATGGATTACTCGGATTCAAGTTGAAGACCCCTGCAGCCGCAGAGTACTGCTGCTGGGAACCTTGCAGTCAGGTACCATTTACTTATATTTGAGTAACTTAATGGGAGCCCTCTCTTTATGACGTCCTCAGTTCCTAGATTTTGAGCTGAGCACTGTTGTTGCAGATACTTGGGATTATTGATCAGCGTGTTTAGTGGGGCCGTATGCAGGCGTCAACAATGTCCGAGATCGTGCGTGAACCGCATATTAAATCATGCCTCGTTTAGGATTGGTCCTGTGAGGTGGAATAAGGAGTTACGACTGTTGATTGCCGGCCAATCCACTCCCTATGAAGATCATAGACTACATTAGGCCTTTTGCATATGGAGAACTGCCAACGCAGCTGATATCTTGCCAACTCTCGTAATTCTCCACTCAAGAGTTTGGACCTATCCTAATGGTGCCAGCCAGGTATAAGATGCGGAACTACCAATTTATTTCCGGCTGATCCTTGAAACACACTCTTTCTCTTTACCTCTAAAGACAGAACGTTCGACCTTTTCTCAACTGAGCCCAAAAAATGCAGCCATTTTATTTTCTGATGACCCTCTTGTCTGCCACAGCAATGGCACTACCTGCCGAAGAGCACCGCTCTAATGGTTTAGCTGAGCGTCAGGTAAGAATATCAATCTTTCGACGATGTCAGGGCTAAC